GTAGACATTTCTTAGAATTCATAGAGAGAAAGGACATTTAGCAATTCGGTGACGAGGTTATTGCGTCTTCAAATACAAACACTGTTGCGTTAATAAACACATGGAAACTTCACCACTTAATACGTAACTTACAAAATGCCACCGAGAGAAGCAACTGCAGCAGCGCCAAAAGCAACAGGTACCCAGCTCAGATTTCGCTTTTCCGTCATACTTCTTGTTGGTAAATGTAACGTTTTTTCACGTGAATGGGAGGTGGCAGTGTGTTGGAGTTAGAAAGAGCTGAAGACTGGCCTGACAAGAAGTTGTAGAAGATTTCGATGAACGTATTGTGGTCATTCTTGAATTTGAAATGCGAAAATCCCTCGTCACTTGATATAACAAGGAAGCCCGAAGCTTCATTTCCAATTCCCATGCGATGGCAAGAAATTGGTCAGCGAGCAAGTTTTCTTGGAATGATAACGTGTTTCTACGCGTTAAATCATGTAGATCAAGGAATAGATTCAGTAGATCTCATAGAAGAATGCAGCTCTCGTGAAAGACTCGACTTTCTTGATTTCTTGCATTTGGCGAGCTTGTGCAGAGGGGGATGCCATCTCCGCAAATGAAGAAGGAAAGCCTCATAGGGTAGACAGTTCTAATTTATATAATTATCGTAAGTCAATGATGCCTCTTTCCGCAGATCTTCATATGGTCTTATTTTAATTGGAGCTGACATTGAATCTTCATGTGTAGAAAGCTGAGATGTCATCACCATCCAAGACGAAAACACCGCCGTTGGTCCATACCTGCAATGGTTGAGTTTTTGATGTTTTGTGTTTTCGCCTTGGTTGGGATCAAACCACTTTTGCCTTGTATGGCATCGCAATTGTGTGGATTCTATTAGACAAACAGCGCATCCATCGAATAGGCTTACTCTCTCTCTCTGTGGCTCTCCTCGCTGTGGGCTAGATGGTTTCGACCATCCCAAGTGAGCGAGCTACACACATTTCCTAGCTAGCCTCTCTCTCGCTCCCTCTCTCACGGCCCAAACGATGGATGGCAAAACCCTCAAGGTATAAAATAAGTTCTGTTTTCTCGCTTGTTGAGTTGGTTGTGGAGTGAGTTTGGTTTGGGTGCCAAGTCAATATGTGAACGCTTCCCGAAGATGAAGAGGTGGATAGGGTCGCAGTTACACACATATTGGCTTGAAAGGGTGATTTGTCCTTGGTTGGCGTGGTGGGCGGACGACAAAGCTGGCTGAAGTCCTTGGGCTGAATCCTGTGGTTGACGCCTTCGGGCTACTTCCTTTCTCGGGTCTTCTGGGTTCTTGTTGAGCGTCACTGCCGACATCGAGCATAGAGGTGACCTACATGTGGTAGGGAGCCTAATACGTAACTGTATTGGTTGATCTGTAAGAAAGTTGGAATAGTTTTAAGCACATTCGCTGCCAGCTAAAGGTCTTGGGATCGACATCCGAGTTCTAACATACTTTTATATTCTTTGCCTACAAACCCTTCGTATAGTGTTACGGCTATACGTGACATTTCTGATATGAGTTCAAAGAAGTTGGATATAAAAGTTCAACTTGTAATAAAACAAGTAGCTGAATGTGGTATATTGAATGCTTTGGGATCCTGCATTGCCAACTAACTTCTATTCAAGGAATAAAAATACTCATACATTTCATCTGATTCTATCAATTGTTGTTGGCAATCCATCAGAGAATTCTAAGGTAAGTACAATATTGGTGAATTGAGAAAAGTTTTCTATCTCTGCGTTGTTCTGCCTTTCATTGCTACCTTCACTTGTTTTTGTCTTTGATAAGACCGACGGATGGACCATCAAAACGTTCCGCCTAAGAGAAACTTTCACTTAACAACATAAACAGAATTTCAAAGAGTCCATCAGCAAGCACTCACAGATGATGTACGACCACTGCTCATCCCAGAACGAAAATCGTCCAAGGCGGCATCTCCTGCCACATTCATCAAACCGCGAGATGTTATCTCGTCACGGCCAACGTCCAACGATTGGAAATGAGAACGTCCTCGAGCTTCATATCGTGAGATACTCAAACCAGTGGAGTGGTGCTCAAGTAAGCCCATATCAGCAGCCACCGAAGCGCTGCCATCAAGGTCCTGTGTAGCTCCACCTATCATATCCACGAGAGCAAGCACCGGACGGCCCTCAGAATCCACTCCGTGTCCAACCGGTACAGGGTATGCAATGACATCATCATTGTCGTCGTCATCATCACCAGTCTATCGAAACACACATGTTGTGAGTACAGTTGCTCATTACGATACAATTACAAAAACATAGACCTAATTGACAATCGTCACGCACATCTGTATCAGAAAAGCTGCTGCCAACATATTGATACAATGCAGGTTCTACTGGACCTCGAAGACTAGAATATCGTTCACCAATGACAACACCGACAGCACCCAATGATTTACATAGGGTTTTGAGGCTGCAAGTAACCAATTTATCAGCATGATGCATTGCCCATATAGGAGGTGTCAGCCCAAGTATTCCAAGATCTGGGAGCCAGTTGTAAACAACCATTTGCATCACTGGCAGAGCACTTCAAAGCTCTCCACCATCACCAAGATATCCTCTGTTCATTCCTTCACGAACGTTCGGCTCAAACTATTGCAACAAATACAGGAGAGTGGCGGTCAGTATCCTTGCAAACACGATGTCTCGCAAATCGAGACCTTGAGGTACAGACGGGAAAGCATCATGTACTACGCGGCCCAAATCAGCTTGTATAGAAGCCTATAACCATGGTTGAAAGGACACAATTGTGAGTTGAATAGACCTTTTATCAACCTGAACGACCTGTCAAAGTTGTTCCTACCATCGACTCAGTCATCGCCCCAAACGTTGTCATTTCCAAAGAAGCTTGTGACGCATCCAAGAGTCGGGACACAGGCCTTGTGATTGAGGCTGCCACCGATAACAACCCAATGGTTGCAGCAAGTACCACATAAGCAGGAGCGACGGCAATGATGCTCAACGCATCCGAGACCTTTTTGAGTTTTTCCGATACTCGAAAGCGATACCACCGGCTTTGTGGTGAATCACCTCGCTTCATCAAAGCATGATGTCCATCATCAAATAGTGCAGATTGCAAGGAGTTTGAATTGACAGCGTCCAAATGGTTTGATGATGTTTCCAACGATCTCAACTGCATGGGAATCACTTTAGCATGATAGGAAGAGCTGAGTGTAATCACAGCTGCGAGAAGAGATAGAAATGTCTTCATTGTAGCAACCGGCATAGAGGTTTGAAGAAAGTTCAAAGTTGACAGGTTTCCATGAATTTGTCTGTGCACAAATAGAGGAATTTTATGAGATCACGTGTAATTTACGCGCTTGTTGACTGAATCTGAAAGAAAACCACTATCATCTACCGTCTAAAGATAAACAACTTCTATTTGAGAAAGAAAATCACAAGCAAATCTTCACGACGTCCCATAAACACGATACAATCAATCGTTGGTAATACGTCTCCCAGTCTGAGTATCCTAGTACAATAACGGTATAGCTTCAGTTCTATGTTTTACCATTCCACACGAGTATCAAGAAACATTGATAACTCACCAAAGATCCATGTGTAGCACTCATCTTACTGCCCATATCCCTAAAGACGTCATCTCTTGCCAGTGAGTACGTAGTAGCAAGAAAAGATTCATGGTGTTCCAAGGCATCGGCTTCTATTTCTTTCATCTGCTTCAGTGGCCCCATTCACATCCCAACTGAATGCCACAATGATAGACGCCTGAACAGCATCCAGTATCTTTGATACGGGCATAGTGACTCCAGCAACGATAGAAATGATCCCAATACTTGCAGCAAGCACGAAAATAGTGGGTGCATAGGTCGAAATGCCGGCACCATCCGCGACCTTTTTCAGTATTGATAATACTTGAAAGCGATACTGATGACGTCGTGGTGGATCATCATGCTTCCAATGACGTCGTGGTGGATCATCAGTTTCATAATAGCATTACGGTCAGTATCTGCTAACTCATATCGCATTGAATCGGGTTTGACAGGTGCCAAACTGCTTTGTGACGCATCCAACGATTCCAAGTGCGTGGGATGCATATCTTTGGCATGGCACAGTGAGCTCAAGGTGATTACAGGTGTGAGAAGTGCTACAGTGGTCTTCATTGAAGCGATCATTACAAAAGAACAGGTACCAATGGCTTACTTTTCAGACAGATACATTGTATTAGCATGATGGTCAGTAATTGCGAAGTGAAATTGGATGTAATCGGGATTGAGAGGATCCAAATTGTCTTGTGATGCATCCAGCGATTTCAAGTGCATGATAGGATATCTTTGGAATGGCACAGTGAACAGGAGGTAATTACAAGTGTAAGGAGTCACTGCCAAGTCTTCATTGCAGCAGGGTATATGTCTTTTGATATACTTGGGTTTGCCGTGTTGTTTGACGTGTTGTACGAGATTTGACGTGCATAAGGGTGCAGGTATCAACTTTCAAACGACATCCAAAGCGCGTGTGGTTTACGCTTCCCAAGGGAAACTGAAGGAGAAACACTGGCCTTGGCTTGCATGTCGTTTTACTCCATTGCACACTTGGAGCATGAACTTGTGACACGTACAAACACAATTGAGACCGACGAAATGGCTAAGGTATGAGCAAGATTTGATTCAGAGTTGACAGGTATGTGTAGTGTATGAAGCCACTAGTAGTCAGACAAGACCACAACAAGGACTCACCAACGTTCTGTTACAGAAACGGGCCCCTCTTACATCTCAACAGCAAAGAAGCAACAACTTCAGCCACTGGCTTTTGAAATTAACATAATACATGTTATCACTTGCTACATACAACACCAGCCATGAACCCCTCAATTGAAGTAGCCTTAAAATGAGCTATCACTCAAAAGCATGAAACCAACCAAAAACAAGAACACCAATCCCTTTTGCAATGATCCGATTCTGTAAATTAAAAAAAAGTGTTGTTTCTGCATATAGCTACATTCCTTACAAGAGTTGCACTCTACTCTGAGCCAAAAGTGTCCTTATAGCCCGATACCTCAGAATATACACATTATCCCTCTCCATAGATACCGAGTTGCCTCGATCATCTATTTGGAAGTCACCCACATCTTGAATGACGCGACAAAACACGGCATCGTCTAAATCGGGTGTGGTGATCATACTGATGTCGCCACCTTCGTCTAACCTTTGCAGAGCTGGCGGGAGACTCTCGAGGGATGATTTTAGATGGTGTTTTCGTATGAGTTCGTCGTAGCTAGTAGTTGATAGTTCAAGTTGTGAGTAAAGTTCGGTGATTTTGCAGCGAGTCAATGTTGAAGCATACCGTTCAGCGAATACAAGTTCTTTCGGTGATAGTTTCCTCCGATGTTCGGCTTCTTGTAAATAGTGCATTACGTGCTCTTCAATCTATAATTCAACATTTACATTCCTGATCAGCGTTTGCATGCTTGATTCAGACACAATGTTCCCTCACCTTGGCCAATCTAGCTCTCAAATAACTCCTCATTACGAATTTAATCCGTTCCATCTCTTGCTGATACAGCACTTGTAAGAAGGCAGCATCGGCTCGTCCATCTCGCAATGTATCCACATTTGCAGACTTTTGATGCAAAGACAGTTAGATCCAGGCGTCAGAACATATCAAATAAATCCAGAACTTGCACATGTAATATTCGCTCTACCTGAACTTCAAGCATCTCCATCAGATTCGTCATGAGTCCATCTTCATATGGAAGCACTTCTGGTGCACAGCGCTCATTCACCCATGCCTGAGTCAGGCTCTTGACGTCGTCGTTTGCATATGTGGCGGGATCTATATCTGTATCGTCATCGTCTATTTCGGCTAGCATTCTTGCAAGTTTGGTGAAATGTGTGTTTTGATTTTTGAAAGTTTTGGAAGGGATGTAGCTTGTGACATGAGTATCAAACGTAAAATTATCAAAAGGTTACTAATATGATACACTTCGCGTCCAATGAAGATCTATTTTGTATTGAGATACGTTCGATGGGATAATGCGTGTTTGAAAAAATTAGAGGCGTTACGTGGCGATTACAATTTTTGAGGATATAAAATGTTCTACAAAGGGGGGCCGATTCACCAAGCTACCGTCAGTTTGCCGGTTGTTCTCCAGCTGCAGAATCCAAATAGTGCAGACATTGAGCTCCAAACACCGGCACGCTCTTATATATAGCAGTGGATTCCTATTCAGCAGAAGGTCAGGATCCTGTTACGTAATCATACACCAGGACCAGCCACACTTACAGGAAGTGCTCTGACAGCACTCGCTAACCGGGCAGCAGCAGATGGATCCCGTTCAACGAGATCCTGAAGCGAATACATGTAGGTCTTGATAGTAAACAATATACATCCGGTCTTTGGAAACCGTCGAACAGTTTGGTATTCGGCTCGTAGAAACACCATCTGGTGCACGTTGTAATTTGTGATATCTCCTCGCTGTTCGCTCCGATGATGTCCTCCGGGTTGATACAGTTCGGGAGAATCTACAAGAGCCTATTAAGGTGACGGCGGTTAGCGTATGAGCTCTGCGTGGTTCTTTACGTTTACGCACCCAATTCAGTCGGTACAAGGGGGACTTTAATTTAAGAAAGATACTATCCATCGTCCTTTGGATGACGCCATAGAAATCGACGGGTGCATGTATATCCTTCATCTCCATCCCCAGTTTCTTCGTTAGGCTCCATCGTCCAGGAAACACGAGGTTCGCAGCAGTTAACCTATACACATCTTCACCCTGTTTGCGCTCCATAATACAAAAGTCCTCTTGACAGAGCATGCCACATATCTCGAGCGGATGCGTACCCTTCTTGAACTCCTCTTCTATATCCCAGTCGTCACCCGTGACACGGTTCTTGATACCTTTAGCAGTCCTGGTAAAGATTGTTGGGTATCGAGCTAGTATGTGTTCGATGACACCTTCCATGACTTCGATAGACGCAGGCATAGATCCATCAATGTATTTCGTAACAAGATCTCGTTTCGTAGCAATAAGTTCCTTTCTATGTCCAATCTCGTAAGCGTAGTGTGAGTCAATATCAATCCAATCTCGTGGTTTCAAGTTCTTGAGGCCCGTTTGAGGTTTGAATGGGCCTTCCCGAAAGGCTTGTACTAGTTTGTATACAGACTCCTATCGTTGTGTGTTAAAAATCTGTTATCATGAAACTTGCACCACGAAATGTTGGATTATTGTGAGGTTTGCTTTGACTCACTTCTGGCGCAAGATCGCCGCTCCACGGTTCAGGAAGTATCCAGGCGTCAGGTGTAGGCCATAACGGTTCGGTTTTAACAGTATCTGGGTGCTTTGCGCCAGGAGCGATTTGGTTGTTACTGTCTCGACTATTACTCTCAGATATGTATCGGCGGCCGGCAGAGTAGACAGCGTAAGCTGTTACCATTGCTCCAACGGTCGGTATCACTATGTAAGGAAACTTGAAGAACCGGTCCATCGCCAGCTTCGGGGTCAATCGACCAAAAGATGTGGAAGATCAGCAAGCCATCGCGCATGCAGAGTGCATTCTAGCTATGATTCTCGCAGTTCTAGACAGCTAGAACCCTATTAATCAATGCGCCAGCTGCTCGCTGACGAAAATATTTGACCAAGCAAGTGCCAGCTCATCACATTGGGCAATTCCTTGATCACGTCCTTCTGTATATAATGCAATCGATGCAAAAGTATAAATAATACATGAAAGGGGTTCCTTCCACTGGTTCTATATACGGCCTTTCAAGCAAGTGCGAGATCAGAGTGATACACGTCTTCTGCCTTCACGATCCGTGACGCTGGTAGAAGCTTAGATTCCACTCTGCCCCACCTACTAAATGGATATATGATCCAGTCTACACGAGCAGTAACAAGTCCTAACGGTATAGGCCCAAACTTGATGATGAAATTAGCACAGACGTGAAAAGCACATCCAACCACTGAAACAACGAGCAGCTAACGAGCAGATACCTTGTTTGAGTCCCATTTATCCTTATTGTCGGCCACATCAGATTCGACCCAGCAATTTCCCTTGGGAACTTTGATCCAAGTAGTTGTGTCAGGTATGTTCTTCACTTTGGGGCATACTAGGTCATCTTCCAATGCCATAACCCTTTTGCATAATACGAGATCGGGATGCATTGGTGAAGTTACGAATACCACATCGCCTAATTGAATACCGTCTTGTCGTGTTGGAGCAATCTTGTTGATGAAGACGATATCTCGTGTTGGGGCCGAGTAATCTGGACTAGAAAAGCCAAGTGTGAGTTTACTAGATTAGAAGAATAGATCCAGCTTACTTTAGTGCGGGACTCATACTATTCCCAGATACTCTAGCTATCGAATACAGCTTCAGGTGAATCACCAATACAGGAGAGATACAGTAAAGTCCAATTCGCATCCATTTTCTCATGATAAATGACGCGTCCAACGACGCTCTCCCTAGCCCTAAAAGCTACGATAGGCTCTAAGTCTCCAAGCTCACTGAACGAAGGGAACCACTTAGGTCAGGCCAATTCACCAAGGATGTCGTGAGCATGCCCATCATCGATGCCTTTATTCCCGTCAGTTCTGTTCCTCTTACTCTACACATTGCCTGGCGACACTATATCGTGCAATGTGTGAAGAGCGAATCGTCCATTTCGATTCGAGCTGCTACGCTTGGTGAATTATGTATGCTGCAAATGGGATGCTATTCATTCAAGCCGATTTGGGAGACTATTGGTGATGAAGCATGTGGTATGTTTTCTATGCATCCATGGAGCTTTCCAATACATTTGTTGAGACATTTGAAGCTTTTGATCTGACTCCGTTTGTCGTCTGTTTCAGATGGCACTGAAGTCATTTTGAATCTTAAAACTGTTAGTGGAGATGAATCTGGACTGTATGGTTGGGTGGTTGCAAGTTCCTTACTCACCGAGCACGAGTGACTGAAACGCCTTCTTTTCAAAGGATGCTGCCTCACGCTCTGATTGGAGATCCTTCAATGTCACGGCGTCGACCACTACGACTTGTGCAGCTCATGGCGAGTGCACTCGGACCCTTGTGGTTTTGGGAACTAGCGTCATTACAGGATGAACACCTCGTTGCTGACATTGCCGGTATGCACTCAAAGCCAAGCTCACTTTTTCTGTATTTCATTGTACTGATCGAATTTCCGTAATCTAGCTACTTGCATCGCTCCTGGCCCTACGATAGCTCTATTAACAACCACATCAACTTTAATCATCTATACCTTGTCAGAACGCACAGCAGCAACTACTACAAGTAGTATAATTCAGCCTCAAATAATAGCACCATACTCGACGTCATTTCGCCATTTCGGTATTAAAAATGATCTACCGTCTTCACTAACGCACATACATGCACGAACAAACGACACCAAGAGACTGTTGGGAGGTCGACAGACAGAAAACGTAGTCACCGCCACCACTCTCGCTGCACCAACATGGACTCCAACACATCAAGATGGTGTTTTGATACCAAACATGTATTCAGATAGTTGTGTCGGGATACAATCATCACGACATACGATATGGATTGCTCTAGATACAGGAGTGCTTATTGAACGATCCGTACCGTCAAACACAACCCAATTCAATATAAATATGGAAGGAGATATACATGCCATCATACCAGCACGACTAGATTACGGACGTAGTGATTCGTTACTGGTACAAGTAGAACGTGATGGACGGTTCGTCTGGTGCTTGATTCAAACTGGTGAAATCAAAAACATCTGGGATGATTTCGATGATTCTTATGATGTGTGCGTTGGCGATTTTAGGAATCTGGGGTATAATCAGGTTGTGTTAATGTCGAGAAGTCAACAGCCACGTAATGGTGTAATCAAGAAGAAATGTCAGTTGTATGACTTTGTTGCTCAAGCTCAGGACATTTCTACGTTGTTTCCTGTACAGGGTGTCGCACGAGACGCTGGAACGAGTGCTCTGCAGTCGGTATCGCAGCTATTGAGTGTCAAGAATCAACAGCTGTTGGCTACTGCTACCGAATCGCAGTTTCTGGTGAACCTACTTATTGGAGTTTTTCTTGCTTTTGATCCAAGCTAACATATTGTATTCTCATGTTAGATAACATACAAGCAAAGAGCTATACAGTCATCACTAGCTTACTCTCAGTTTCTAAGCTCATCCTATTCGAAATACACTCCCCCGCCGTCTTTCGCCAAACAATTCAAGCTCAAAGATGGTCTGATACCGTTATTAGAGGCTAGTACTAGTAATAGTGAAGGTGTTGCTCCCATGGATGTAGACGATACTGTCGAATACCAACAACGTGATGTCAGAATCGTTGAATCAGAGTTTGTTGGCGTGTCGGGTGGAAGGCTGGCCAAATTTACTTGTACAGTAGAGAATGTGTCCGAAAGGTATATACGGGATGGATTGATGTGAATGTATGCAGATTTTTATTTTTATAGAACAATCATCCTTTTTTTAGAGCGCTGCATGACATTCAGCTTTATTGTACCATCTCTACACCTCATCCCATGAAAATGACCCATGTTGGTATGCTTGCTCTTCAAACTCATGAGTCGGCCACCTTGTCATTGGAAGTGACGTTGCCTGTAGTATGGGAAGGAAGCATATATACGAGTCTAGGATGGAAGAGATCTGATTCAAAGCGCAAACAGCTTAAATTGTTGGAGCATCGTGAGATTCAGTTGCAGCTAGAAAGGAAATGGCATGGTGAGTGCTCGTTAGTTGAGCAATGCTTCCTTTTTTGTACCGCCTTTTTTTCAAATACGTTTGAAATCTAAAACCTGGACCTCTCTTTATATAGATTCTGCACTAGCATCGAAAGCAGAGCTACGACTTGAAATGGATGCAGGTGCAGGAACAGCAGACAATAATGCCAACAAGCGGGATATTACTGGACAACGAATACATCAAGGTCTACGTGGTTGGCTTTCAGTGACTCTTGTACTGCGGGAGCATTTGCATTTGGAACCCATCTTGGTATGTCGTCATTTGTTATTAGTCATTTGTTATTAGTCGCTTGCCAAACCAAGGAGTCGGGAGTGTCGAATATTCTTGGCAAGAAACCAACACTGAAAAAATAACCAAGCTATTTGTTTCTCCCAGGGAAACCCTTTAATTTATAGTTCATATGACGCGTCAGTGGTCGTGACTCAACGATTAGAAAATCCTCGTCGTGATGGAGGTGGGAATGGTGTACTGATACTCAATTTTCGGGGCAAGGATGATTCCACGCTCTGTTTGTATATATTGTCATTCATCAAACATATTGTATCTTTGAATATTCGAGCCGAATTAATATCGGCAACGTAGAAATGTATACGAAACTCTAGAGAAAAATGTCCGACGTTTTGCGTGCTTTCGGATTCAGTCATTCGTATGAGGGCAGTTCACTTAGGATCACTCACAGCGGCTGGTTGAATTGCGTATAAGGAAAAGGTGCAAATCGGCGGTGAATTCAAGGACGTTGACGGGCAAGTTGGAATCGTGACTCGATCTTCATACTAAATTACATCACTTTATTAAAAACTGCTGGTAAATTTCGTGCATCGCAGCCATTGACGCAAATTCATGAAGACGCATGTTTTCAGATATGAATAACACGTCTTGAATTATATAAATAGGTCCCTTTTATACTCACGCTACGAACTATGAAGGCATCAAACAATGTGGCAAACACTACTAGTGCACCAACACAATGCCAAGGACAGGGCAAATCCAACAAGAAACGAATGGACCGCACGCCATCAAGAAAGGAACGCAAACAAGACAACAACCATTCCATAAAAATAGAAAAGGGTATCGCTATACCTAGTGTTGCAACCCTTCCCCACCAACGCCAAACAGCACGACCACCTGTATCAGCACTGCCAATCCCACCACCAGGCCTCACACCACACGCTCACGCATTCGCATCAGCAGCTGAAGCTGTCTCCAAATCACAAATCAACTTGATGAGCTGCGTGACTACGTCCTTGATGCTGCCTGTATACAACAGTACCACCACCACCAACAGCAATTACGATTACGATGCATATGTCGCACCACAAGGACAGCGCAGGACAAGAGCTTTAAGCGCTAGGGGATGGTTGTTTGATGAACCACACGTTGACTTGTGTCTGGATTTGAGGAATGATCTTTTGCTGGGACATGGATTTGTTGAGATGGGGTTGCAGCATATTATTGGACTTTATTAAGCCTAGATTGAGATGCTGATCAACAATAGAATCTTGGTTTTTGTTTTTTCATCGATGCATCAAGTAAAAACGACCAGTGTGCGATTTTTCCCATGTGTTATTCAAAGCCCCATCCTGAATTGAAGCGGAGTAGGGGTGAATCGTTGCTTACGGAAGGGGCTAAACAGCGAGTGTTTGGGGACGTTTGTAGTCGAATGGCAGTTGATGTATTTGGGGATTATGTGCATTATACATAGACCAAAGAGCCTGGTTATTCAAATTTTCCTGTAATGATATCATCTATGGGATGATCTTGTTGGAATTGCAGCAGTGGCGTGGATTTACAGTTGTGAAGGAGCCAATGCGTGAGAAGAGAGTTGAGTTCTGAAAGAAAGAGAGGATGTAGATGAGAGAAGGGCCTCGACCAAAAGGCAAGGGTACAGGAAACTTACCTTGTAACGTCATTGGCACATCACATTGCAGAGAGTAGTGGTCGGTGTGTTCGTGCAAGATGACCAAAGTGTCTGGCAAAGAAATACCTAGACACGGGAAGGTGGGGGGCATTTCAATATATACAGAAAGTATCAAGAAATAGAATGCGAAAGCGTGGGGTCCTGACGATATTTACCCTTGTTGATCTGATAGACGTGGGTGGATTTGGCATTGAATGTAGTCAGGATTTCAGCGAAATTAAGACCCAGCGGACGTAAACTCATTCCATTGGGGCCTAGGAAGGAATTATTAGATGCGGGCTATGAGGGAGAGTACTAGCACTGTTGTACCTTGGTAAATATTGCCTTTCCTGGGGCACACCAATCCTTCTTTCAAGACAACGTCATATGCCGAACGACCCAAGCGCTTTTGCACATCGCGGTCTCGGAGAGCAACCTTTTTCGAGGACTGCGGCCGATACAGTGTAAGTGGAACTGTCTTGAATCGGCCGAGAAAGGGTCGCGACATTTCTCGTTTGCTTGAATGCTTTAATTTCTTTAAAACTTGTTGCTTGAGGACGTTTTGAGAGTGGAGGGAGGAGGGTCTTTACGGCAAGACAGGAGGGAAACCTTGCACCAATTGTCTCAATATTATGACGCGTGCGAAGTGTCGATATTCCGTTTTCGGTTGAAGCGTTATTAAGCAGCAGCGGACCTCGAATTGCTTCACACTGTTAGGACGATTACGCGTTGACTACTTCATATACACGGCCACCATAGTCTCTTCGACCCTCTGCAGCGCGACGTGAATGTTTTCTTGCTGCAGAACAGCCGAGACAAAACCTCTCACTTTGTCATCAACAATAACAACAACTGGAAAGGTACCTGCTATATCTATTACATCTTCAGAGGACACTACAATGGCAGCAACGTAAGTTGAAAGACTCGATTCATTTGCTTTAGTCTTGTTTGTTATATTGCCTTCTTATTTGGCAAGCGTTTTTGCTTTCGTGGGCATGCCGTCTGCTCCAAAACGGGGATATTCGTTGCGCAAAAGGAGGCGAAGGATGCAATATTATATAAGATCATGCACCTTCAAGATGCAAGGAGCCTTGTCATTACCTGTGTTATTACAAAGCTTGAAGGAAATTGACGTCATGAAAGCAGTGGACATCAACCATGTCAAGCTCTTGCCTTGAGTCTTGGAAACCCAACTCCCAACGGGCAAGACTGAAACCACCATGTATACCACAAAATTTATCTCATCATTCCCCTTGTTTCCCTAAAAAAACCACAAACCCCAAATCACTTTTTTGGCAACTCACACACACGAAAACCTGTACAATATCAAATCGTCCCCTTCAATTTGATGTTTTGTCAACAACCCACTAACACAGTGCACGCATCAACCAATTGGCTGCTTCTCTTGGCGGTCCCAGTGGTGATATTGGTCTGATAGGTTTGGCCGTCATGGTAATTACACAGATTTCGAGTTTTTTTTTCAGCTTGACTTGACATGTCACTTTGTATCAAACCAGGGTCAAAACTTGATCTTGAACATGAACGATCACGGATACACTGTAGTTGCTTACAACCGAACAACTGAAAAGGTCAAACAGTTCTTGGACAATGAAGCTAAAGGTATCTATCGTCTTCCTTCTTCATTACAATAACAACCATATTCACCTTACACAACTCTTCACTTAAACAGGAACCAAAATCCAAGGCGCATTCTCCATCGCTGAACTATGTGCCAAACTCAAAAAGCCACGTAAAATCATGTTGTTGGTTAAAGCTGGATCAGCTGTAGACGACTTTATCGCTCAATTGTTGCCACATTGTGAAGCTGGCGATTGTATTATCGATGGGGGAAACTCGCACTTCCCTGATTCGATTCGTCGTACCAAGGAACTGGAGGCTAAGGGATTCTTGTTTATTGGAACTGGTGTGTCTGGTGGTGAAGAAGGAGCCAGATATGGTCCTTCAATTATGCCTGGTGGGTCTCCTAAGGCTTGGTGAGTGAGCGAGAACCATACGTCTGGGGTTTCGTGGTAACTGTCAACGATTTTGTGCGAGAAAAAATGATCGCTGCTATACCAAAACTACGTCAGCAGCTGATTTATCCATTCACATCTCTCTTTTTAACAGTCCTAATCGTCATCTTTCTCCCACAGGCCTTTGGTAAAGAACATCTTCCAAGACATCTCTGCCAAGACCAAAGATGGTGAAGCATGTTGTGATTGGGTTGGTGAAGGTGGATCAGGTCATTACGTAAAGATGGTGCACAACGGTATTGAATATGGTGACATGCAAATCATTGCCGAAGCCTACTTTTTGATGAAGACATGTCTACACATGACTGCCGATGAAATGGCTGATGTACTTGATGAATGGAACAAGGGGGAATTGGACTCCTTCTTGATTGAAATCACTCGAGACATCATGAGATTCAAGGATGAAGATGGTACTGCTTTGGTTGAGAAGATTCGTGATACCGCTGGCCAGGTAAGCCATTATTTAGTTGTACCCTCTCTTTCTTTGCTCTTGTCGAAACTAATGCACTGCTCTATCTTTCAAAGAAAGGAACTGGTAAATGGACTGCCATCCAAGCTCTTGACTTGGGAACTCCCGTCACCTTGATTGGTGAAGCTGTCTTTGCTCGATGCCTATCAGCGTTAAAGACGGAGCGAGAGGCTGCATCCAAGATCCTTGATGCCCACTCTGTCGAATTCAAAGGCGATAAGAAGGCCTTTATTGAAGATATCAGACAGGCTGTATATGCTGCCAAGATCATCTCGTATGCTCAAGGCTTTATGGAATTACGTGAGGCTGCCAAGGAACAAGCATGGAACTTGAACTATCCTTCTATTGCTCTTATGTGGCGTGGTGGTTGTATCATTCGAAGGTACGTGTGAAGGTTTGACAGGATGGTGACGGCGCCGAGAGAGAATTGTTTGTCACCACAGGACGTCACTCTATAATAATGGCGGTTTTTTTGTCTCCTGACTGACTCTAACAAGAACCCTTCCATCTCTACTAGTGTATTCTTGGGAGATATTACAGCTGCCTTCCGCAAAAACCAACACCTCACCAACCTTCTTCTGGATCCATTCTTCACCAGTGCCATCCACCGTTGTATGCCATCATTCCGTCGTGTATGTGCTCAAGCCATGTTGAGCGGAGCTCCAATCCCATGTTTAGCTACTGCTCTCAACTTTTATGATGGATACCGTCTTCCTCGTGGATCAGCCAACTTGCTCCAAGCTCAACGTGATTACTTTGGTTAGTTACTTTGAGTTAACCCGTTACTTTGGTCGGTTGGTTTACTGTTTGAGTTATTAACGTTAACTTTTGAACTAGGTGCTCACACATACGAGCTAGAAGGCAAACCAGGAGACTGGGTTCACACCAACTGGACTGGTATGTATCTTTGGTTGATCGCTTTTTACTGATTCGTACGCTGACTCAGTTTGTATCCTCTTAGGTCGTGGTGGTCGTGTCGCATCTTCCACATACCAAGCATAAAAAAGTTGACAAACGAAAGCTTGTGCCTTTGCTCATAAAATAGATATCAAAAAGTCTTTTTAACTAATCTGAAAGTTGTCAATATGAATAATGCGATTCTGGTTAGCGTGATGTACGTTTCTTCTTCCTTCTTTCGTTTTTCGTCGCAAAGCGTCTTTAAAGCACCGAGGACACAGTTATCTGTTGCCAAGACTGTCTGAGGCATCCAATAGTACTAGAACGACACAGGTAAGCTATATCTATCGTGTATCGCATTGTATACTGCTGGTAACCCATAGTTTTTAGAAGCTTGAGCTAGAAAGTATGGTAACAGATGAACACTACCCACCAGTCATGGAACGGAAGAGCATTGTCGTGCCTTCCAAAGGATCTGGGTTACGGCTTGTGCCTATGAAGAATCAGGTATGTTTCTTTACATCCCTGGTTTACATCCTTACTTTTTTGACGACTAGCAGACGCTAACATCCGCCCATCTACACAGGTGAACTCGTACACATCTGCACTGTATATCGTCATGGCCACCAACCTTAACATGAGCTACGTTTTATCAATAGGTCCGAGATCCTACACGACCATACTATTTCGCATCACTAGACAACATCACATTCGTTGAGGAGGCATCGATATCTACATGGGTTGCATCGCTGAGTCCGCTTGCAGCACTACCAAATGATTATCACATGAGGAGTGCATTGCCATTTGATGATTTTGTGGAAAAGTTTGGGCAGGGGTTTATATTGTTAAATGCTGCGATGGGTGGCAGAGTAGCTGTAAATCCGAGGTGGATTGTAGGTGTTAAAGCAGGTAAGCGATGTCTGGTGGCTGGATTTTTGATGATAGAGTCTATTTGGTCGGCAGAACGTTTGATGATGTGGCAGTATTCATCACACAATCCCGTTTTAGGAAACGATCCAGGAAACACATCGATTGAGATCTTCCACACCCAGAACTATACGCCAGGGACTCAGACGTGTATGAGCCATACTGTGGAAGGTGTGTAAACATCAAGGTCTGTTCTTATAACCAAAACTGACCCAAGACTTCTTTACAAATAGTTAAAGCCGATCTACCATACGTGTTAAAGCAGTTGGTTCCAGACCAGTATGATGATATCAAGGCTATTGTTGGGCAGTCGACGAATGTTGGACACAACACGCAACTTTGAGGAGTCGCGTAAAGGAACATTGTGTTTGGATATCTCTTTCCTGCTTCTTTTTTTCTTATTGTAAATTGTCATATTGACATATCACTATAATCGATGACCTCAAGTTATTGATCTCAGCATGTTGGGGTGTTTGTATTGCGGACGTGTTTGATCCAAAGTGAATCTGTGCGATTGACGTGTTATGTCGCGTCTAGCATCAGATTATAATTATTTAAAGTCCGTTCCAACTCTTAATAATGCCAACGTACCGTCCAGGTTTGTCTCCTTCATCCATTCTTCGCATTTCTAGACTTCTGCGCACCAAACACCCAAGTTCCTGAAAGAGAGTCAATCCGACATTTAGAGATATATTAAATATTGCCCAAGATGATGCAACAACCCATTATCGTAATGAGTAAGTGATGACACCAATTTCATTCCATGGACAAGGACATTTCAATTCTAATGCGCATTTTCTTCCTTTGCATATAACTAGACACCAACATGGAACGAGAAACAGGTCGTAAAGCTCAATTATCTAATATTACAGCTGCCAAAGTATGTCATCCTCTCACCCAATCCTCTCCTTTGCTTGACGTTCATTGAACAATTCATTGACATTTATTTATTTTTTACAACAGACTGTCGCAGACATCATCCGAACATGTCTAGGACCACGCGCAATGTTGAAAATGCTGCTAGATCCGATGGGAGGAATTGTATTGACAAATGATGGGAATGCTATATTGAGAGAAATCGAAGTTGCGCACCCTGCTGCAAAGTCAATGATTGAGTTGTCGAGAACCCAGGACGAGGAGGTTGGGGATGGGACTACGAGTGTTATCATCCTAGGTAATACATATACATCTGTTTTTAATGATGATCAGACAGTAAGATGCATTGGATCTATCCCTAACGCATAGCTTTTACACAATAGCTGGAGAAGTACTATCATCCGCCCTGCCCTTCTTGGAACGATCCATTCACCCAATCACCATCATTGGCGCATTCAAACGAGCACTCGAAGATGCACTTATAATCATTACCGATATTGCCGTCCCCGTAAACATTCAGGATCGTACAGAAATGCTTCGCTTGATTAAATCAACTATTGGGACAAAGTTTGTGGCTCAATGGAGTGATTTAATGTGTGGGTTGGCTTACGATGCTGTGAAATGTGTTGCTCAGGAAGTTGATGGCAAACGTGAGATTGATATCAAGCGTTATGCTCGTGTTGAAAAGGTAAATCATGAGATTTGCGTATTTCTTGTCTGTCGTGTTCTTTTTCTGCCTTTTTCTGAAACCTTTGGCTTCTCAACATCTTCATCTAACTCCTTGTTCGCTCAAACAAAGGTACCCGGTGGCGAGATTGAACAATCCGAAGTATTGGACGGCATTATGGTCAACAAGGACGTTACTCATCCCAAGATGCGTCGTCGTATTGAAAATCCTCGAGTCATGCTCTTGGATTGTCCATTGGAATACAAGAAGGGTGAATCTCAAACCAATGTTGAGGTCACGGATGAAGCTCATTGGGCTCGCTTGTTGGAAATTGAAGAAGAACAAGTCAAGGAATTGTGTGATCATATCGTTAGGCTTAAACCTGATTTGGTGTTTACTGAGAAGGGAGTTTCTGGTAGGCTGTGTTGTGTGTTTGGGGTGGGAAAAAAGGCGGCCAAACCACTCCTGAATGCATTCTCGATACGAGAGCTCATATCATCTGCTGCTTTTCAATAGACCTGGCTCAACACTACTTGATGAAGGCCAACATCAGTGCCATTCGACGTGTCCGGAAGACCGACAACAATCGTATTGCTCGAGCTACTGGAGCTACCATTGTCAATCGTGTCGAGGATTTGAACGAGAATGATATTGGAACTGGTTGTGGATTGTTTGAAGTTCGTCAAATTGGTGACGAGTACGTGTGCTGTCTCTCAAGTTTTCTTTTTTTTGCCAAATCTGGTCTTTCTTCGACACGACTAACTCCTCATATCATCTTCTAGATACTTTACCTATCTAGTCCAATGTAAAGATCCCAAGGCATGCACCATTCTCTTACGAGGTCCATCAAAAGATATCCTGAACGAAGTAGACCGAAACTTGATGGATGCCATGTCTGTAGCTCGGAACGTCATGTTTGAACCACGATTGTGTCCTGGTGGTGGAGCAACTGAAATGGCTTTGGCTGTACGATTGGGTGAAAAGGCCAAATCCATTAGTGGAGTTGAACAATGGCCATACAAGGCACTTGCCGAGTCTTTGGAAGTCATTCCAAGAACTTTGGTACAGAATTGTGGTGGTAATGCTATCAAGACCCTTACTCAATTGCGCGTAAGTGTAGCATAGCTTTTGGTTGTAAAGAGTTTTAGAGGCATCCGGAGTTACGAGTGTTATTTGGCAGTTTTTTTTGCTCATCTTGAATATTTACTTTTCTCAGGCCAAGCAAGCTGAGGGATTCTCTTCATTCGGTATTGATGGAATTACTGGCAATGTAGTCGACATGAAGGAATATGGAGTATGGGAACCTCATGCAGTCAAGGCTCAAACGATCAAGACTGCTGTCGAATCTGCATGCTTGTTACTACGAGTTGACGACATCGTCTCTGGTGTCTCCAAAAAGGGATCTGGTGGCGGTCAAATGGCAGGACCTCAAGAAGGTGGTGAAGGTGATGAAGGCCAAATGGAGGTATGTTCGAGACTTCTGGTGGATTTTTTTTTTGTTGGACTTGAGTTGCTAACGTCTTTCTTTTCAATTTCTAGGAGGGTGGTGAACGTTAAAAGCAAGTGGTATAGAGTAAATTCTTTATGTAAAAGTTACTGTATTATAAAAACCAACAACGAGAATATACAGTTTGGCATGCTATAAAAACCATTCAAGTTATGGTAGACAGTATTAACCAATAGTACCACATCTCCCACAAACATATCCTGACATTCTAGCTGACGAGGCGAGCGTTCTGGAGTATGTTTGAGGCCCGTCGTCATCGTCGTCGACGACAGACCTTTCATGGAAGCTAAATATCAAGGGATTTACGTGACTTCAGACACGTTGAAATTACCGCAGTTAAGGATGGGCCATGACTTGCGGGTCATGAATAACCGTACGCCGGAAGACAACAACATAACTGTCACAGCCTTGCGGGCGTACGGGCATACTTGCGGGTTCTTGTTGCGTGGGATGTGTGGAAGAGCGAGGTGTGGGCGCGTTCATGGATACAGTCTGACGCATTCTTATTTTGTTCGAGGTTGCATCTGCTCAGTATTTATGTCGAGACAGGGAATTGTCGGTTTTCGTTGTATTATGATAACTAACAGTGATTGAATGTACACTTTGGCATGCTATGAATTTTATAAGTTATGTGGTAATGCGATAGCTTAAACTTCAGAGTGTTTTCTAGCACCACACCTCCCACAATCATACCCTGGTATCCTAGCTGATGAGCATCCCGGACACGAATACGTTCGAATCCAGCCCTCATCTTCATTTACACACCTCTCACAACCACACTCAAAGTAATACCCGTCCCTCAACAACTCCTGTCTCTCCCTTCTCGGAAGCGTGAAATCTATATACGAATGATATAATGCTGCCCCCTCTTCCATATCATGAAGAGCAAAGAATTTTACTCGAGGTTCAGCATCCAAGAACGTCGTTACGTTTGAGTCACTACTGCTTGACGGATTATGCAGTTTGATTCCAGTATCCCGCATAAGATTCGGCTTACAGGAGTGGTTAAAGTATGATGCTGCTGGGTATATTCCGAATCCGGCTGAAGTGCCTTCAAAGCTCCATAGCCCGAATCCGTTACATGTGCGGATGCATATTAGATTTATAAAGTCGTCGAGGGTGTAATGGTTTGTGAGCAGTGTGGTGAAGTGTTGGGATGGCGTGTCGTTGTTGTTACTACTATGTGGTAGAGTTTTGAGTAGCCCGTACAGGTATTCGAGTTGCTGGCGTTCGATACGATCTAATGATTCTACATTCCTTATGAGTTTCGTTACATCCTTATATGAGACACCTGCCTGATCATCTGGTGCGTTTCGTCTGGATATCATTCCAAGAACGAAACGACCTAAATCTTGGATATCTAATGCTGAATACACTTCAGCATCCTCGAGCAACATTCCATTCAATTTGGACACGATTGTATACACCTTCTTGGCGTGTTTACGATACACTGGTCCTAGATTCGATAGGTCTACCATTGCCGTGCATTCAAATTCGGTATGATGAGGTTGCTTCAAATCTTGGCACGATGATGAGCAGTAGTATACTGACGTGCATTCTGTACATGATAGAGCGTATTTGTTTAGGGCGATTGTGTAGCAGGTGTGGCAGACTCGTTTACGTTCTTCGTGTATTATAGCTATAAAGGTTAAGAATTATCGGTTAGAATCTAATCAATGAGGTCATAACTGCAAGACGAGCATTTCGCTTACATAGACCATATGGTCGAGCTTCAAGCACTAGATCTCCTTGTTTCAACGGATGTGAGGATACAGCGTATAAGCCCAGCGATGGCTCACGTTTGATGAGGAGACTGGTTGTTTCAACAGTCATAACTCAGCGATCAAGTATTGAAGCGATAGGTGTAAAGTCCTCGTCTGTAGGTCGTTGTCCAGGATTTTTTTCTATGTTGAAGTACGACAGAAGTGTTTTATGTCAACAAACTGGTCATTGCAAAGCTCGATGACTGACGACAGGTTCCTATTCAGTGGTACAGTCCCTCTACGCGGAACAAACACCGGTGTGATATCTTCAATCACGTCACATTCCGCAAACCACTTGCCTCGCTTTGAGTTGATTAGAAAGTGCTAAAGTCGAGCAAGAATCCAATCTTATATCACGTAAAGAGTAGCTATGTGGCTGTTTCTCGTTATGCAGAGAAGTCTTCGACAAGGTCAGGCGTATTTATGTCTGGCAAGAAAATAACGTGCTAAAACAACGACCACAATTGATTGACGTGATTTTTTAAAGAGCGGACGCTTTGTTAGTTGTAATTACGCGTAACTGGATTGGCTCTTGTATGAGAGTTTTCCGTTGCTGTCTCCAAACAATGGAGCTCCTGACATTCTTCGCAGCAAACAGTTATGAGCATACAGACTAAAGAGGCATACTCAAGGACTGTAGCCATGTCTAATGGAGATGTTCAAGAGTGCAGAGAGCAGGTTACTGAGTCTTGAAGCTAGTAGATTACGTCGTGATCTGTATCTTTGCTAGTTATTACGGCCATAGAACCTCGTGAAAAGAGTACTGCCACTGTTTAGTGTAGTGGATGGATGCTTCTCCTCGTGTCTCCTTCGATATTTGGGCTGTCACGGCTGTTCCGTAGCCATCATCAACTTGTCAAATCGATTTCGTCCTTGCTCAGATGTGATACTCTAGATACAAGCAAGGACGTCACTTGCTATACCTGATGAAGGTCTCTCTTCCAAAAGTTAAGTTCTCTGAAATGAACAATCGCCGATACGGATTGGAAATGTTTACGGGGGTACCTTTAAGCTAGTGGTTTCGTCCCCCTTTAAGCCATAGCGACCTACCCAAGACTAGTTGAATGAATTTCACTGAGCTGCACGTCTGCGCTTTTGCAAGGACGTCATCATTCAACATCATTGGCATTCCAAAACAACCCTCTTGTCATCATTTTGAAAGCTTTTGCACTGAAAATTGCGCTGTACCATTTCATTTCTTTGTTAGAGTGCCAAGAACACGTGTTTGGAAGGAGTCTGTTAAAATTAGACATGGTAGAGAGTAGAATTGACACTTAATAGGTCTCAAGACTCTCTAATACATCGGTATATGAATTGTTGATCCACGAACGTTTGACTTGGACAGCGAAATACGCGTAGGAGTGAACTTTGAACTATGTCGTGGAGAACTTGACCATATACTCACGTTTTGAGCGAGCGAGGCAGTCGTAGTGCGCTTCCACGTGTCAAAGTTTTCATCAAACCGTAAAAGTCGACGTTTAGATATAAGCAGGACGGTGGAGAGGAGATAAAACGACACAACGTTCTGTATTGTCACGAGGTCTATAATATGAGAATCAAGACAGTCAAAGTGGTGGACTCTTCGACGGCAATAGACGGCAAAGATGATGTTTTGAGAAGAAGGAGAGTTCCATCACGTAAGTGTAAGATGATACTAGATTAGGCTGGATATATTATGAGATCATGTCTACATGCTTGTCGCTGATTGCTTTGCCCGTTATCGTGTTCCTAGCAACGCCGCCATCACCAACTGGACAACGTGAAGAGCCAGATCGCTTTCAAAAAGCTCTAACTTGTGGGTTTGAGCATATGCCACATTGGATGCAAGGTTTGTAGAATGATGTAGATCGGCTCTATAGTCACAACCAATTGCCTATATCAATCTATTGCGATCGGATGCTCAAACTGTCATCTCTCCCCTTTGGCAGACAATGGCTTCATACTATCTGGTTACCGATTCATTGACAATTCGTATCGAGAATGTGTCAAATCCATGTTCTACTTGCACAACGAGACCTTGAACGTATATACCCATTTGATTGGATCTCTGGCTTTTGTCGTATTGGCATACCTGACGATCTGGAATCGAGTTCCATGGTCAGAGTCCATGGAAAACGCTAGCTGGATCGATATCGTCGCTTGGTCCTGCTTCTTTGCTGGTGCTATAGGGTAAGGATCGACTCGGCGCTTCCATGCTTCGATCACATTGCTTATAATCTTGTCACTCAATCAGCTGTATGGGCTTATCAGCAGCCTTCCATCTGTTTCAGTGCCACTCGTATGATGTCTGTACAGCCTGGAATAAGGCTGATTACGTTGGAATCGTCACGCTCATTGTCGGGTCTTCCATTCCCGCTCTATATTATGGTACGGTTTTCGTATATTCCGTTGGTATGCTTGCACGTTGGAATAGGAGGACGAGTATTTGTTGGAAGGTGGGGCGGGGTGGATTCAATATGCGTTTTGGCCGAACGAACGCATGAAGAAGGGCTGAGGCATTATATTATGTATTACTGAAAAAATCACAATGGTGGAGTATCAGAGAAATGTTTAACACAACATCTCATCACTTTTCGCAGGTTTAATATGCTCACCTACATTACAAACATGGTATATTGCTCTGATGACTGTGGCTGGTACGAGTTTAGACAAGCTGGACCTAATAGTTGAATGATTATCATTGTTACTAATCTTAAACTTTGCAGGTACCGCAACCATCATAGCTTCAGCTTTCGATGTCTTCAGAAGTGTTAGATTCCGCACCGCTAGAACGATCGTCTTTGTAGCTCTGGGAGTTACTGCCATCTTCCCCATTACTCATGCTGTGTTCTTATGGGGTGTGAGTGAAGGAACTAAATGATTTTAATCTTGTTTCATCAAACGAATCGTTGCTTGAGTCTGAAACGATTTGTTTTTGCGTAGATTGAGTTTGTGAACCATGCACTGAGCCTATATTACATGCTTTTGATGGGAGCCTTCTATCTCGTGGGGGCCTTCTTGTATGCTTATAGATTTCCAGAGAGAGTTTGGCCTGGGAAGTTCGACATTTGGGTACGAAATTGTTGCAAGTCGATTTCATTTCTTGTTGCTCTACTGTTAGCACTCGTTTTTTTTCCTGATGTGTCGCTTCACTTTCTTAGTTTCATTCGCACTCCATCTTCCACATATGTGTAATCGCCGGTTGCATTACGCATTACATCGCACTTGTGTACATGCATCGGTTCTGGTCAAAGTACGTTTCCTGAATGGATCTTATAGGCATAGTGGGACAAGATTGACTGATACGACGTTTTTCTTCTAGTCATTCGCAGTCGTGTGATGTTGCCAGAGCGTTTGTCGCTCGAGTTTCTCTTACCAACACTTCATTCTGATATTCCTTCTGTGGAAGGCATCAAGATTAGATTAATAAAGATCCATGTTTCGCATACCGTATATTCTCCTGTATCAGAAATCCCATCAAACACACATTTTAATGTAGCGTGCAAAAGTTCAAACTTGTTTCAAATGTTACATAGTAGGTTTTTAATCTACAGGAATTCTCTACTTCTTGCTGGCTTTAGCAGGAGTTGGTGCAGCTGGTTTCTTGGTCTCGGAACTCTGAGATTTCAATACCTGAGCAAAAGAAAGGACTGTCAGTATTCAAAATGCTACGAGGTGCAATTCTATAGAAACGACACATACCTTCTTGACAATCTTTTGTTCTTCAATGATGAAGGCACGAACGATTCGTTCCCTAACACAGCCAGCACATCGTGAGCCACCGTATGCCCTGGTGACATTCTTCTTTGACTTTGATAGACGAGCGTATTTTTGTGGTCTCAAAGCTGGGAGCTAGATGGAGATAAGTGTGTTAATTGACTAGTAGATGATGAGCAAGATCGTGTCATGCAACAAAAAAGAGTGGTATAGCCTGTGGAAATGGATTCTACAACATCGAGCAATATCCAACAATCCAACTAGATGGTTTTACACAAGCACCAAGCAGCTGGAATATTTTGATAACCGTGCAGATAACACGATCTGTTGCTGTTGCTGTCTCTGCTTCCAACACATCGTGTCTGCGACTGCTCGACTTGACAATATCCACAACCCACTACATCCACTCATACAGCCTGACACTTCCTAACTACTACTACATCTACTAATAACTCACCCCAGGTAATTTTGATCCACAGTCACCACATTTAGCACCGTTGGCTCGTTTGTGCACGTACAAGACGTTCAGTCGTCCACCAGGAGTCTTTGTCTTTTTGATCAAGTTTGATTTAGTGTTGTACGATAATCGTCTTCGGTATGTCACTCGTTGAGCCATCTTTTTATATTATAACTAGAGGGACGAGTTGGATGTTAGTTTCTTGGTGATGTTTGAAGTTGTTGGGCAAATTGTAGAGTAGGGAGGGGGGTATTGGCGCTCAAAATGGTCGTGTAGAGTGCAGAATATTGACAGTGCTGTGCATCACCCTCTGTCCCTATGCACATATCTACAAGATAGCCGATGCTACAAGATGGTGACAATTGTCGACCTGACTGCCAGTCACAACTACAATGATAGCCCACAATGGAGATGCCTCGTCTATAAACTTCGTATTGACAGCTTCCTACCTTATTCCTCTTCTCCCCAAAAGAAATCAGATGGATGTGTTGGATGTCTTCGTTGAGTCGTTTGAAAGTACCGAATGATAACCGAATCCAGTAATTCAAACAAATCGAATGACGAGGAGGACAAATTCGATAGAAACTACATAGACAGGAAGCATCTCAATCACGTTATCAACTAGCTGCATCACGGCGTCACGCATAATTCGAATGGCTGCTGCAAGAACGACTATAGTCTTTGTCACTGGAAATGCCAACAAACTCAAGGAAGTCCAAGCTATATTATCTGGTACAAATATCAATCTCACCTCATCAAAACTGGATCTGGTCGAAATTCAGGCAAGTTGCCGTGTTGGAACGTGTGTATTCGGTCGACATTAAACCAACTCGGAGATTTGATGCTATGATACACACAACGACACGGTTGCATAGCCAGCGATGCTAACCCCAATATTCTCAATAGGGCACGACGCAAGAATGTGCCATAGATAAAGCTAAACGAGCCTCTGCGGCTTTAGGAAACATACCAGTGCTAACTGAAGACACTGCGCTTTGTTTCAACGCACTGAAGGGTCTTCCCGGTCCATACATCAAATGGTTTCTGGAATCTATGGGACATGATGGTCTCAACACCATGTTATCGGGTTTCGAAGACAAGAGCGCGTATGCTCTTTGTACATTTGCACTTGTACCATCTCCAGGTGCTGAGCCAATTCTCTTTGAAGGACGGAATGATGGTAGAATAGTGCCTGCGAGAGGACCGCTCGATTTTGGTATGTTGTGGTATAATGTTGCAATAATCAAACAGTAAGCTAAGCTCTTTTCCCAACAGGCTGGGACCCAATATTCGAGTCTAACGACGGTAGTAGTGGATTGACGTATGCTGAAATGGAAAAATCGGTAAAGAATCAGATATCACATCGTGCTAGAGCCTTGGGAAAGCTAACGGAATACTTGGCTACAACATCATTATGAGACAGGACTGATCATATCAGTGCTAGGAGCCTTTTATTTAGCTCATCATCCACATAAAGCATTATATAAATTAGAATTTGTACATTCTTGAACACTGCCTCATATAAACGTTGCAAGCTCTGTCGCGTTCTCATTGCAACGGTGCAGAAGCCAGACACTAGCCAAAACCATCTGTCTCAGATTTACAGGCATCCATGCAAATTGCCTCAAAGTCCCTTAAAATTCCCCGAAACGCGATAGGATCTAAATTTCTGCACAGAATTCCAACTCGACCAGGGAACAAACAAGTGTGTTCGCTCTGACTTCACTTAGTTCACTCCCGAGACACCATCCGCCATTGAATAAAGAGTGCATTTAAGTGCTCTTTCGTCCCTGAAACTTGTTTGTCTTTCCCGGAAACATCTCCCGCGTCAATTGCAGCAAGTTTCTTCATATCTCAAGCAACAGCAACAACCAAGCATATGAGTAACGAGCCAAGGAATGTCCAGTTCGCTGGAGCTCCTCCACCAGACAGTGTAGCCCATTCACAGCAAGGAAGCGCCAACCCCATATCCACAAAGAATGAAAAGGCAATGAGCGAGAAAAAGGCTGCTGCCAAAAAACTCGATATTGTACGTTGTTGCTGTTAGATTCAGCTTGGATCTCTAGATCCATTGGATCTCTAGATCCAATACCAATTTTCGTGCCTATTTATTGATTCTCTCTTTACATTTTAGGAGGAGCATATGTTGACATTTGATCAACTGAAAGAAAGACATCACACATCTTTCGACCCCATTAAACCAACCATATCTCAAGGTCTGACATCTGAAGTCGCGGCGCAGAGATTAGAGCAATACGGACCGAATGTGTTGACGCCTCCTAAAAAGACGCATTGGTACAAAAACGACATGCATTAATGCTATTAGTTACAATATGCTGACCTGTTTCCCTTGGCTTGAAGGTTTATCAAATTCATGGAGCACTTGCTGTCACTATTTAATGCGTAAGTTGATTGCTCGTCATGGGCTCTGATGCAAGTCGCTTACGCGGTTTCTTCTGTTTAGGTTATTGATTGTTTCTGGTATCTTGACATATGTATTGTATGGAATTGTGCCCGAGGGAAACTCTGCAAATGTACGTGGTTTAAGCAAGCCGTTTTCTTTAGCAGCATTTCAAATAACAGCTTCGAACGCCGCTCTAGTTGTATATCGGTGCTATTCTAATTGCTGTCGCCTTCCTCAATGCCATGATTGAATTTTACCAATTACAAAAATCCGCTGCTCTTTTGGAATCATTCATGGTAAATACCGATAGCAATCTCTTCTGCTGTACAACAATTGACACCCTGAACTTTTTTCGCCTCTCCTAGAACATGATCCCAGCAAAAGCCAACGTCATCCGAAACGGTTCTCAATCACAGATTGCTGGTGCAGACCTAGTGCTCGGAGATGTCGTATTTGTTCGACTGGGAGATAAAGTACCTGCCGATATATATGTCTTCAATGCTGGCGATTTTAAGGTCGACAATTCTTCATTGACCGGTGAATCCGAACCACAAGATCGTGTTGCTCACAACACTCATACCAATCCCCTTGAGGTATGTAGCACAGAGCTCATCGCTGTCTATATGCGGCTGCTGAAGCAATATACTATTAGGCTACCAACCTGGCATTCAACGGTACTTTGGCTGTAGCTGGTGAAGCTTATGGTGTGGTCGTTCGAACTGGTGATAACACCGTGCTGGGTCAAATTGCTGGTTTGACGTCTGGTGAAACTAAGCGAAAGTCGCCATTGTCTATGGAAATTGATCGATTCGTCTACGTGAGTCCCATACATCAACTACGAAGCAGTCATCTTTTTTCGCTAAGAAGGATCCCCAATTTAGATCATCGGAGGTGTTGCCATAACCTGCGCAATCGTCTTCTTCATCGTCGCATACATCAAGTCCCAGCAAATCGCTTTCGCACTCAATTTCGCAATCGGTGTCTTGGTCGCTTGGGTTCCTCAAGGTCTACCAGCCACAGTCACCATGTTGCTGACTATTGCCGCCAAACGAATGGCTTCAGAACAAGTTCTCGTCAAGGATTTACAAGGTGTTGAAACTCTTGGTGCTATTACTCTTCTGGCAACAGACAAGACTGGAACATTGACTCGAAATCAAATGACTGCTACCAATATTTGGACTTCGTTGAAATTGATGACCACTGCTGGTGCTAATGAGAATATTCCATCTGGGGAAGTGGCAGTTGACATGTCTGTTAGTGGTGTTTCTGAGATTTTGCATATTAGTGCTATGTGTTCAAGGTAGGGGAGAAAACAGTGAAAGCGAACAGCATAATGGATACTTATCCGTTGTTCTCTGTTAGAGCACGATTTGAAAAAGTAGAAGGCCCAATTGCTGATCGAAAGATCAGTGGTGATGCTACTGAATCGGGCTTATTCCGTTATGCTGCTGCCAAACTGCCTGACATTGATCAAGTACGTCTGAGCATTGATTTGTGTTTTCATTCACTGATGTGAATTTCTTATTTACTTCATCCTTCTTTTGCAGCTTGGTGACAAGTACCCCAAAATCTTTGAAATTCCATTCAACTCAGACACCAAATGGCATATGACTATTCACAACAAGCCTCACACAAATGGTCCATTAACTCAATCCATGAAGGGAGCTCCAGAACGTATCTTGCGAGTCTGTGATACCATCTTGGTGGATGGTGTTGCCGTCCCTATGACTGACGAACATCGAGCTGCTTTCAATTTCTCATACGAGTACATGGCCGGAAAGGGACATCGTGTGCTGGCATTTGCTCAATTGTTGTTGCCTGAAAGTGAATTCCCTCTTGGATTTAAATTCTCAAAGGAGGACAAGAATTTCAAGACAGTGAGTATCCGTTGGCTCACGGAGATTTTTTTACTTTCGACCCTAACTGACAAACTCATAGACTGGATTATGCTTTGTCGGATTGGCAAGTTTGGAAGATCCACCCAAGCACGGTGTTCGTGAAGCCATTGGTCACTGTCGTGAAGCTGGTATCAAAGTCATGATGGTCACTGGTGATCACCCTCTCACTGCTGAAGCAATTGGTCGCAAAATCAATCTCATGCTGGGTGAAACCAAGGACTCCCTTGCAAAACGTACCGGTCGTCGTGTCGACGACATTAAAGAATCTGAAGTCTCGTCTATTGTCATCCACGGTGAAAAGATTGATGACCTGACTGAAGAAGACTGGAATATTATTTTCTCAAAAGACGAAATCATCTTTGCAAGAACTTCTCCCAAGCACAAGTTACAAATCGTCAAGCATGCCCAAAGTCTTGGACATATTGTTGGTGTAACTGGTGATGGTGTCAATGACAGTCCTGCTCTGAAGAAGGCTGATTTGGGTATTGCTATGAATATTTCTGGATCTGACGTTTCAAAAGAGGCTGCTGCTATGATTTTGTTGGATGATAACTTTGCTAGTACTGTTAATGGTATCGCTGAAGGTCGTTTGATTTTCGCCAATTTGAAGAAATCCATTCGATGTAAGCGACAACGTGAAGCGAAAAAGGAAAGAAACAGATTACTGACATCCTTTCTTGAACGTAGATGTCGTCACCCACATTATTCCCGAAGTATTACCATACCTCTTATATGTCATCATCCCAATCCCCGTTGCTATTGGAGCTCTGCAGATTCTAGTCGTCGATTTAGGATTCGAATTGTTTGCTGCTTTATCATATGCCTGGGAATTACCAGAAACTGCAGGTGGTCTCATGCGTCTACCTCCTCGAAAGCCAGTTACCGCTGACTCCATCAAACGCAAACGAGCCCGTGAAGCCGAACAAGCTTCTCACGCCCTAGTCATCCCACAAGATGTCGAAGGAGGTGAAGAAATCAAGCCCTCCTCCTTCCAAGTCGCCTTCCACACAATGAAACAAATGACTCAAAGATGGTGGTGGAAGCAACTCTTTGAAGGACCAGAAGGCGATGTGCTGGTTGATTTGGATGGTTTGAGTTACTCGTATTTGGAAGGTGGTATGATTGAATTCTTGGGTGCTTTGACTACATTCTTTGTTGTTTTCTGGTAAGTTTTCTGTTTCCATATATTTATCATCACTTTCAAACAAATAGACTGACGTGACACTACCATTGAAAATAGGAAGGGAGTAGATCCCGCTACCGGAATTGTATTCGGTGTTAGTCCTTGGGATACTGTTCAAATGCAAACCAATGGCAACTACTTTGTGGTCGGAGCTCCATCATACACTACTGTGACTGGAAATGTCTTGGTATGTACTCTGAGTGGTCGTGCCGCCTATTTAGCAGTTGTTGGGATGGCTGATTTTTTTTTGTTTGCAGAACGATTCAGCTCAAGTCGAAGCTTTCGCTCAAGCCCAATCTGCCTTCTACTTTTCCATTATGGTACGTTTTAGAAGGTACCATTTTTGGCAAAGGTTTATTAACTCGACCTTGTGTTGCAGATTATTCAAATGTGGAACTTGTTTGCCTGCAAATCTCGATTCCGATTGCCATTTGGAATGTATATGATTGCGTAAGTGGCCTAGAATCTTGCTTGTGTGTTTAAAACGTCTTGATATACTCATACCTCTTGAATTCAGAAACACTGCGACTTGGTGGAGTGTTGTTGGTGGTGTCGCATTTACCGTGGTTATCGTTTATGCTCCTCCATTCAACAGTAAGTTATCACATAGTTTTCTTAAGGACGCTCTTGATTCTAAACGTCTTCACTCAACCTAGTTGCTTTCGGTACTTCATGGCACTTGCTTCCCTTGTACTGGTTGATTCCAATGGCATTCGGTGCCTTCCTGATATTCTACAATGCTGCACGGCTATTGCTTAAACAGTGGCGTAAGTATTGCAATGAGCCAATTTACATTGAAACGGCCCCGTGAATCTAAACAATTTTTCTGTCACATAGTGACGCCCGTCAAATGGAACCCGGAGATTTCAGGTCTCCAAATGTATCCAACACGTTGGGTATGTATTGTATTTATCGTCTTTTTGCTGTAGCATCATAAACTGACTTTCTTGTATAACCCTTAGTCTACTGGACGGTAATTTATGTGTTGTTGGGAAAAAACATATATAACCCAAAACATACTTAAACGCTTGGCATTTGTACATTATGAAGGGTAACAATAATACTAGACATCTCTATAAACACTCGTTGCATGGTGAAGAGAGCTTTGATTGTCGCGGAAATTATACTGTATCTTGGTGCAGGCTTCTGCATAGAACCTCAGTTAGATAGCAGTCGGCCACAGTTCACGAGTATTCCAGACTTGGCATTTGACGAAAAGATTCTTTCGAAGTTGGGTCCATTCAGTATTCGTGCTTTCTTAAATGAAAAATCAGCATTTGCGTCCATCATGTTGTGAGTGGATCTGCGC